AGGAATAAAGTCCACTGGACAGCAAATATGGCACTTTTTGTGAAATGCACCATGTGTTTCGGATTAAAGCCCTCGTAAAAGCGTCGGCCCCTCTCTCTGTCGGTGTTCGGTCGGACCTCTACACTCTACACGGCGGCGGCCAAACTGGGCGGCGACATCCACCGTGAGAAGAAGAGGAAAGGGCGTAACTACAGTGCGCGCCCGGCTGAGCGCCTCGCCAGGCGCCACCACCGTGCGCCCCCCCGTGACCCGCGGCATTGGCGTGCCAGGAAGGTGTTGTGGTGGGGCTCGCGGCGGGGCGGGGCGTGGCGTGGCGGGGCGCACTTGCTGCAGATAAGTAATCTTCCATCAAAACGCCGGAGAGCAAATATGTGGGCCACGCCTCGCCCTCCGCCCGCCCCGCCGGCGCGCGCGCACCCCAAACCACGCCACTGCAGTGCTGCCAACAACAACACACTATGCGACCACGACCACCACCACCACCACATATCATGGTGGGCAATATACCAGTCAGACACGTGAAGAAGAAAAAAACGGGCCGAAAGACGCGCGACAATAGTGGTAAAAAAACGGAACGGTGAAAAAATTGAAATGACCAACATTCCGACAAAAATGATGGTATTTTAACGGAGTAGTGTGTGGCTACGTGCCTGCCTAGGCCGGGGCGCGCAAACAGACGCAGCAAACAACAAACGAAACCCAGCCGCAGCACCGCACCGCCGCCGTGCACCGGGCGGGTAGGGGCTAGTGCAGGGGCGTCCAGCCTCCTCTCTCCCTCCCACACAAACATATGTGCTGCTGGGCGGGGGGTTTCCCAACAGTGTATAGCGGCGTTACTGGCGTTACTTTCCACGGCTATGCTGCCTGCCACTGCTGCTGCCGTGCTCTCCATTTACATTGGAGTGGAAACCTCTCTCGCACTGCGAACGGTTCGGCCAGACCCAATCACAACGAGCCGAGGCGACGCTGAGAGCCAATCGAGGGGGGGGGGGGGGGGGCAACAGTGGGGCCCCCCCCCCCCCCCCCCCCCCAACAGCAGGGTCCTAAACGCCCGAGGCACGCCACCACCGGCGGCGGCCTAGCCGGGGCGAGGGTGGTAAGTGTGGGGCGGGAGATGCGGGGGAAAGAAAAGATCATCAATCTGCCGCGATAAGTAACAGTGTACCGGGGCGTGTAACGATGTAGGGAATTAGCCCCGACGGCCCCCAAAGTCTCTCTCTCTCTCTCTCCCTCTCTCGGTCAGATCCGCACCTTCGAGCACGTGCACGATCCATTAGCGCCCCCCGGATCCAATCGCCAAATTATTTTCCGTTAATCTCTTTCGGCAATAGCAATAATTTTTTGTTGTTGCTGTTGTTTTCCGGTGACGAGATAGGAATTTCTCTTCTTGCGCACTAATGCGCCGGCTCGAAGGCCGCTGCGGCCCGAGTGGTCAGAACGGAGTCTGTGATTAATAAAGACAAACATACCGCACCGGGTGGGCAGGGTAGGGAGGAGGGCGGCCCCTTTTTCGCAATCAAAAGTCGGGCGCCGTGAAAATGGATCGGTTCCAGCGTCTGGCGCCACCGCCCCTGCGTACGCCCGGCTCGTAGGCGCCCCCAAGGCCCCCCGGGGGGCGCACCTTGGTCGCGAACACGCCCCCCAGAGGACGCCGAGCCCGCCGCCGTCGGCGTCCTCGCAGGGGACGGGGGCGGAGCGGGCGGCAGGTGACTGACGTGCGCGTTAATTCGAGACCGGGGCCGGGGACTGCGGGCCTCTTGCAGCAGGCCGACAAGGCCCCGAGGGTGTCGGGGCCCCGGACCGTCTGCAGGGTCGGGGGCGGGCCGGAGGGGCCCGGCCGGGTTACGTCTACCCGCGGGGGCGGCCGGGGGGCGGCGCGGCAGGACCGACCGGAAAGTGCTCCGTCTGCCCCCCGGGCCATCCTGGCGCCACGTGGCTGGGGGCGCTCGGCGGCCCCGAGTACCTGGCCCTGGACTCTCGGGTGCCCTCCGGCCCGCCTCGGTAATGGGACCACGCCCCCAAGGGTCGAGTCTCGCAGCCCGCACCGCCCCACAGCTACCCGCCCGGGGCGACCGCCGCAGAACCCTTCCAAGTGGCGGAAATCGCTAAACTCGAATTTCGTCTTTCCCCCGTAAAAAAGGAAAGCCCGACCCCCCCCCCCCCCCCTCTCTCCCGGATCTGGTTACCCCCCGTCGAAGCAGCGAACAACAACCTTCTTCCGCTGGCGACGGGGAAAACAGACACTTTTCAGGGGGGTCGTTCTTCGATATCTTGGAAAATAAAACGAAGCCTCTACCACGCCGGGGGACGGCGGGGAGGTGCTCTGGCCACCCGGTGACGCCCGGGCCGGCCGGCGCGCGCGACGTCAGAGGAGGCGGTCCAGGGCGCGCGCGTCCACGACACACGGCCGGACCGACCACCGCGCGCTTCCGCTCCGATAAGAACGATAGCGGCAGAAATGAAGTCCATCTGCGCGCGCGTGTGTGTGTGTGTGTGTGTATGTGTGCGTGTGTGTGCGTGTGTGTGTGTGTGTGTGCGACTGCGTGTGCGTCCGACCCCCGCGCGGCACAATAAAAGGCAGAGGCACAAACGGCACAACAAACGCCGCCCTTTTGAAAGGGATACGGCAGTCCGCCACCAAAACGCCTTTTGTGCGGCCGAGAATGGACGCGCAATGGGATGCGTTGTTGTGGCGACCGCAAGAGGTGTGCTGCTGCTGCCTACCGCCGCCAGGTGGTGGGCCCGTGCGTGTGTGTGTGTGTGAGTGAGAGAGAGAGAGAGACGCGCCCTGGGGGACCTCCGGGCGCGACTCGCTCCGTCTCTCTCGCTCTCACAACACCACGTCCAATGAGCGCGGCCGGTGACAAAAGATTGGGACCGAGCGGGTGGGG